CGTGTACCTGTCACGTTAATAAACGTCCACTTGCCCTCCATACCTGGATCCGTGTCTCCTTCCCGGGCCAACCGTTACAATACTACATTCAGTTAAACAAAAAATGTGGCCACACATTTAGCGCTGGTCACATAAGCAGACAATGAGCCCAAATCAAAGTTCAGGCAACCTCAAATACATTAGAAGATTGTAAACCCATCCATCCATTTTCCAAACTGCTTATCCTTCTGAGTCGTGGGGGGTCCAGAGCCTATCCCGGAAGCTATGGGCACGACACAGGGAACAACCCAGGACGAGGGGCCAGCCCATTACAGGGCACACTCACACACCAGTCACTCACACATGCACACCTATGGGCAATTTAGTAACTCCAATTAGCCTCAGCATGTCTTTGGACTGTGGGGGGAAACCGGAGTATCTGGAGAAAACCCGACGACGACATGGGGAGAACATGCAAACTCCACACACATGTAACCCAGGTGGAGACTCAAACCCTGGTCCCAGAGGTGTGAGGCAACAGTGCTAAACACTGCACCTAGATTGTAAACCAATGGTAAAATTTGTATTTACTTGTACAATAAACTTTGCTAAAACCTTTAGGAAGAACTAAGGTACCAACAGGAAAACGCACATGAACCAGCTATCCTTACCATTCATATCTAAAAACGTCAGGGTGCAAATTAATGAAAAGAAATCCAGAATTATTATTGTAGAAATTTTGTAAAGACCAGAGCATCATCTGCCCACTCAGACCAACTGACATCATTACTGGACTCAACAAATATAGGAGTTTCAAAATTAAGATACGCAGATTAATATGTTTTTCTGTATTTTTATGGATTATTTTCCACAATCTTAAATGAATAATAAAAATATGATATTGCTAGATGAGACTTGGCATAATAAATTTTATACATTTCAAGGGTTCTTTTCAACTTAAACCAGCATAAGAGGCATATAATTGAACTGTCACCCTGAGGGACTAAATACAGTCTCTAATTCCAAAGCAATGATCTAAAAATACATTTACATTTGACACTTTTTGCCTTATTAGACCACTTCAGTGTTGCTTAATGGTGGATATTCAATGCATTTTATTTGTGTAGTTGTGGGACTAACTAAGAAAAACTTATATATAATCACATTGATATTTCTAATTTGCCGCTATTTTAATATCAGCCCTCTAGGAGAGGGTGATGCATGACAGATTATAGCAAGACATTAATTGGACAATCCGCAGCTGTTTCTGCAGGTCAGTGAACTTTACAAATCAGATAATGTGGTTAGATTTCTCATTTAAGCAACTCTGTGAGAAGCAGCAGCAATGACAGGATATTGCTTTTGTTGGGTTTTTTTTGTCCAATTTTGAGAAACCAGTTTTCCGATAATTTGCCAAGCAGGATATACAAGGTGTACTATGAGACGGTCTGTATTGATTCACAGCTGCGGCTTTTAATTTGCCTTCCAGAGACCTTTTCAGAAAAAATAAATAAATAAATACTATTATGCTATTATGAAATTATACATTAAAATGATCTTTATTACTGTATGTTCTGGAAGTTCCATTAAAATCTTTATTGCTATATGTATATATTTCAATACTATAATATTTCATAGATATTTGTATAAAGAAAAGATTTTCTCAATTTCACATACAGTATTTAAGTCATTTTGTATTTTTGTCTCTCACTTGCTCATGCTGTCTAGGCAATCTTACACTGTCTGCACAGATTGTGAATGTTACACTGAGCCATTTGTTCCTGAATCTAACATGCGTGGCTCTTGCCCACTTGCTGGTTTGGACTCCGGGCAGTAATGTTCCTTTGTTACAGCCTGAGTTACTCTCATAGTAACATTTTAACAAGGCATTTTTTCCTCTCAGGATCTTCCAGAAAGAGATCCTGCCCTACTCCATCTGATCATACCTCTACATGCGTGCACTGGAGTTAAATGTGATTCAATGTTCTTGACATTTCATGCATTGTAATTGTTCTGTTCCACAGAGATGAATATCTATTTACCTTTGTCTTCCATGATTATTATTCCAAAGAAGTGGCCCTGTGATTTTCCTTGAGGTAAACCCCATGACAATGTAAATAATACTGGTTTTGGTCACTGCTTTCTACTGTATTATGCATCATTGCCTTTGTTCAAACCAAAGATCACAAGATGACTGGCCTATCGTCCTTTCCTGTAGCTGTTCAGTTTGGGGATTTAAAAAAACTTGCATATTCTGCTTTAGCTCATCATATGATATAAGATATTTCTCTGTATCTACCTGGAAATTATTTTTATTATTCTTTATTTTAATGAAAGAAGCTCCCCTTAGTGATTGTGACACCACCTCCTGATGAGTCCCCCCTCCCCCCCAGCCACTCCTCTCTGCTTATCCTCCTCTGTGTTGGCCTGAGAAGCTGAAGCGTGACAGTATGATAGTGCAGACGCATCCCTGGCCCTGAACCGCAGCTACCCCGTTTTCATCCTGACCCTCTGATTCTGCTTTACGCTGACTGTGTTGTGTCGCCAATAAAGCCCATCATTTGACATTTTCTAATGTAGTGGGAGCACAGTTATGGCTGATCATGATGGTAAGCAGGGCATATTTGGGAATTCGGTCTTAGAGACCTAAATACAAAACATGTTATTGCTAATTTTCTTGCAGCCTAAGTTTCACTGTATAGCATAAACAACCTGTAAATGTTCATCCATCTTCAAACCGCTTATCCATCCCGGTCAGCGTCTCACAGGAAGCCTGGAACCTAAGCCAGGTGACACAGGGCTGAGATATACCCCGAATGGGATGGCATGGAAATACATACATATAGTTATACTTAAACAACCATGTACTTTAATGTGCAGTTCATGGTGCTTGACTATAAAGGGCTACAACTGAAATTAAAACACATTTAAATTGTATTTGAAAGACCTGTTTTGGAACCATTAAAATAATAATATTCAATAATGCCATTAACTGCAAATATGCAGTTTCTGCAAAAAAAAGTATGCAACTAGTGGAATGAAAAACTTATAGGCCTTATAACGGTCAGAATAAAGGTGCAGTTTTGCACTAATTCTTCTTATTCTGAAGGCTGACTTTCTGTGGAAAAAGTACTTTAATTATTGATGATAAAACTTTACATAACTCCCGGGAAAGCAGAGGACAACGAAAGTCCAAATGAAGCCAAATGTTCGAACAACAGGATCACACAATGTAATTATCCATTTGGTAGTTTTTCAGAGTTAAATTTGTAACGCTCTTGCCGCAATAAAAATTAAAACCTTACATTAATGGTTTTGTTTATATTTTGTTTATAAAACACAATTCATCATTTGAAGCTTGTTCTCCCTATAGATGCATGCCACCTCATGCATTCTTCTCTCTTTTGGTTTATATGACGTGTACCTAATGGTAATCGTCGTTTTGTATTGAAATTAGGCTGAATCGGCCATTCGCTTGGCCGATCTCATTTACATGCTCAAACGTCCCAACGGGGCGTGAGTTCATGTTTGACCATAAGACCGGAGGAGGCAGGGCTCACATGTGCTAATTGGCTGTCAAGGGTTTGGGTGCGTTGTCTGTGCTTTAAGGAAACAGGTTAGTTTAGACTAGGGAGCATAACTTCTAGAAACATGGCCTTTTAGGTCTGCAGTTTAAAAACAGGCACTTTACTTGTTTAGTTGCCGAGGCTTGATTATAATTGCAGGGTTTTTAATTTTTTTCACTGGGGTCGCAAAATGAATTTGATTTGGTCGTCCAGGTAAAAACTGTATTTCTATTTAAAAATCTTATGTGAGATACTAAAAGTTGCCATTTAGTTAGAGATTATAGTTGTTCACTCTGCGGGAGATTAATACGATTCTTTATCTTTTCTCAGACTACTGGGTGCGACAGTTGTTTTCCTATTTATAAAGGTTGGAACAGGTACGTATTTGTTTTACAGTTTCTTCCCTAAGACTTTACTTTATATGGAGTTTAGCGGTATTTTACGCAAGTATATATAATTGTATTTGAGTGGTTGCCTGGTTTTCTTTTTAAGGGTGTGATGGCTCCGATTGTACCAAAAGCCAACAATCGGAGAAAACAACGGAGATCTCGGGATATCTTAGCCAGATCCATGGGATGAAGGCGCTGTCGGATGAACGGAAGCACGGAGATGCGGGATCTGTAATACCATTCGTTGGTATTACTGGAAGTACGTTAAGCCGACACATTGCTTTTTTTCTGCTTTATATTTGTTTCAACTGTCTGCACCTAATTCTGTTGGCTGAACAAGTGGCTTCGGGATGCTGCTGTGAGTGAATAATTGGTTTAACAGCTAGTATATACACCAAACACTAAGTTTTATGGCACCTGGAGCGAAGACACGCGACGTCGTATATATTGGTATTTAATTATTGCCTTGTTCAATTTTCCCGACGAAAGCTGAGATGGAAAGAACACTTGTGCAACTATGCTTGTTGCTTGATATATTGCCTGTTCATTATATATTTCCAAAACTTGTGGCTCGTCTCAGGTACTGGATAATATACCGATTTTTAAAGTGCTTTTATTTCTGTTTGGTAGGTTCAAGACAAAGTCGAAGCTGCTGTCAAAATGGGGGCACCTGTATTTTAGGTAGCTTTTGCGCTTGTCCAAAGCACTTCACAGGCAGGAGTTGCGAATATGATGATCGTATCAGGTAAAGAGAGGGGGGAGGTGGAATGCCGTACTTAATATTCTGCGTTATTCAATCACGCTGATGAATCTGATAGTTGTGTTCCATCTGTTACAATATTATGCAGAAACTGTGGTGGAATTCTTCATGGGGAATGGGTAAAGAAAGGCTGCTCGTACTGTAGGTGTGGATATGGCGTTTTTCATTGCTTCCCACAAGTCTTCCATCATAACTGCGGTAAGTAGATCTTTTTTTTAACATGTTGCAATAGTACCAGTCTTTTCCTCTTGTTTCCATGTCTATCCAACCTGATATTGAGAGAATGCAGTGTGTTTTGAATGCCAATGAGTGGGAGAGGCGCTGGTCAGATTGAACAGACATTGTTAAATGCCATTCACACCTCACTGGGTAACAGAGTGTGGTGGCCTGGTGATCATCACACACAGGCTTAGCAGAGTCGCTCACAATAGGCTTTTCCACAGTCTGACGACGTGCTAACTGCTTCATTTTGCCTTAAGTATATTTTAGTGGATTCACATCATTGATGCACAGTTGCCTTTTTCTGTTGCAGATGACTCTCAGGAAGTACTATGGTTTCGCTCTGCTGGATCGGAGATGCAACAGCCTCAGTGTTTTGTGTGTCTAGCACTGTTCTGTTTGATTTTCTTTTTCCTTTGAAGGATATAGGTAAAATCTGCAGATTTATGAGGACCGTGATAGTCCCCTGTATACATCATCGAGAATATGAGATTTTATTTTTCTCTAGCCCCTATGAATGTGCAATTCTTTTATTTGCTTCCAGTGGAAGTCAGCATTATGTTATGCGGAGTTATTGTTTTAATATGTTGGGAGCTCTAAATAAGATTTTATTAGAAATAGCGACATTTCCTTGTAATTATTTCTGGTTGAAGCTGCAGTGTCCAACAGTTCACTGTCCACATTGAGTCACATTTACGACGTTATGTCTTTTTTCCTTATTGTACATCCGTTGAAGTGTCTCAAGGTATTTGATTGGGAAATAAAGTGCTATTTTGACTTAACTTTCCGTCAGGATGTTTTTAGTTCAAAACAAGAACATCTTCCATTTGTATATATGAAAGTAATTGACAATGGTTTTGTATTTAATTTAAAGTGAAACTATACACATAGAAAGTTATGTTGTTTTCACTGCTTTGTTACATTCATTATGTCTTATCTGCATCTGTGAGCCGTATCTGTTCTGTGTGGCCTCCCTGTTAAAGAAGGAACGACCCTTGATTGGTGAGGCACTTATGTGACCTTACTCTGTTTCCCTTAGCAAACCCTTTTTCTAAGATAACATTTTATCAGTGTAATGATTGAAAGTAGTCATGCACATGTCGTGCTGTTTGTTTTCACTGAAAATAGAATGGATAATGGAAGTAAATGTCTGAGGTGACAAGAAATGGTGTTATTGAACACGATTGGTAAATTTATGGGTAAATTGTATAAAAAATATTTTCAGGAAGTTTATAGTTATAGATGATCCTGTAAAGACATGCTTTTTTAGTGGGGGATCTCATTTTACTGTAACCAAGATGTAAAGCTATGACCAAATTAAAATGAATGGAAGGTAACACTCTTTACATGAAAATACTTCGCAATCCAAATTAGTTCATTCATCTCTGTTCTAATATTATACCACTATGGGGTCAAAGGCATAGGGTTCGTATAATTGTCAAGATTAAAAAAAAAAAAAAAACTTTAATATAATACATTTACTACTTAACAAATTTTCAATTCAAAGTCAGTTTGCCATTAGTGTTGGGTTAGGTTCTATATTTAAAATGACTAAAGTCATTTTTTTAAATGCCTTGCAGTTTTGCCAGTGCAATTTGGGTGGTTCATGTGGGCTTTGTATTAAACTGTCTTTTTAATTGATGTGGATGTATTTAAATTCTTCGTGCCAGTAGGAGGGAGGCACGTGTGACATTTCCTGATAGTTGCCAGTTCCCCCTTGTTATCTATGATCGTTACACCTAGATTTGTTTCCCACAGTTTCTTTGTAGAGTTCTTTAAGTACTTTTTCTTCATGTCAGTTCTTGGTTCTGTTTAATGCTGCTATAGCTCACATTTTCATATTAAATCATATTTTGAAAGGTAAAAATAAAACAATTGAAGATGCGGTCTGAGCAAGAGAACCATACTCCCTGGAAGATTAATGTAACCTGGATTGTTTTACATATGTGACGTGTTGCACTGTATGAATCTTGAAACTTTGTCATATACATCATGGCCTTTCCAAATATTTTGCAGGTAGAAAATCAGACAGGTAAATTCTACAATATTTCTTTCTATACTTTTTGCGAAAATCTATATGACTAAATTAGCTGAAATAACTAAATAGCTGTACATGTGACCATTTTAATTCATTGTCATGTGAAAAACTTTATTTTATTTTATCTGGAACCCTTTTTTAAAATTATCCTGAATCAATGGTCTGAAATGCTGGTGTCTAAAATGCTACATGTCTGGTGTTCTTCCACTGTCGTAATACTTTAATTAGAAAAAAAATGCTTTTTTTAATGCTCTGTGTACACAATTATGAATTCAGTGCAGGTTTTGTTCTGTTCTTCCCTGTTTCTATAAGAAAATTACTGTGTTGAGTGCCATCTAAAAATGGGTAACAATTTACTGAAATAATGTAGTACATCTTGCTTAATGTATCAGTTAATGAGGAATTAAGCGTTAGTTACGCACTGGTCCCATGTTTGCTCATTATTAATAAATCATCATAGTTAATGTATTTCATGCAGTTACTGTATTTGTTCATGATTTGTACTTGCTTAGTAACTGAGTTGCTAAGTTACTTGTGGCCCATCAAGTAAAGTGTTTCAAATTTTTGTTTTCTGTCAGGCACCATTTGTTCCTGCTAGGATTATCATTACATGAATGTCCTCTCCTTTTTTTTAGATAACATTTAGAGATTCTAGCACATATTCCCCTTCAGCTCCAAAGGTTCAGTGACACGTTGAAAAAGGAAACCTCTCTCAGAAATATTATTTCTCAGGTCACTGAATGGTCAGGATGTGTAGGACTCCGATAAATGTTGAGTCTTAGCTTAACCTTGCTGTGACATGCATTTAAAATTACTATCAAAAGAAAGTTTAATACTATTCAAAAAGTTGTCATATATGCTTTCCGTAGCCACTTTATTACATACACATAGCTAGTAGCAGGTTGGAGCCACTCTGTCCCCAGGAACTGCTTCAAGAAAAGTTAGATAAGTTGGTCAGAGAAGTTACTACTGTTACCTACTACTGTTGTACTAAATTGTTATTTTTGCATTTGTGACTGTTGTGTTTGCTTTAATGAGTCTGCCCATTCTCCTCTCTCATTAACAAGGTGCTTTCTGCCACAGAAATGCCATTGGCTGAATGTTTTTTGTTTATCACGCCATTCTCTGTAAACTCATGAAACTGTAGTGTGGGGAAATACCAGAAGGCCGACTGAGTCTGAAATACTCAAACCACCCCATCTGGCACCAACAACCACGTCGCACTTCGATGACTTATCTTAGCCATTCCACAGCTTAGTCTGGCAGTAAGTGAGCCTCTTCACCCCTGTCTGTATGCGGTATGTATTTGGTTTCAGCCACCTGATTGGCTGTCCTGAAGTGCAGGCTGCTTGTGTAAGCAGGTGTACTTAATAAAATGGCCTCAGAGGGCACATGTATGTGTGTTTGTGGTATGATTTTATTTTTGCTGATGTTGCTGCACGTACACATTTTTAGTGCTATATGCCATTTGGTTATTTTCTTACCTGATTTTTTTCTTTTATGTTTTGGTTGTTTTGTTTTTCTGTACTCGAGGCCCAGCATAAAAGCCAGTTACTCCTGAGGAAGCATCTCATTATCTGAGGACATTTACCTCTAGCTGGTACACTTATGTAGCCTGGTACCTAAGTTGGAAGTCCTAGACTGCACCGGTCTAACACTAACTTTATGGAGTCCAGCTCTTTATTCACAATGCTACCTACTGTCTGTAAATGGCTTAAGCGTTATTATTGCTTCAAACTTGTCGTGACATTAAAAGCACGAGGAAGTAAATGGGCTTTATTATATTGACATTTCTTTCAGTTTGGATTACAGCAGATATGTAACCAGAAAAGAATTTCAAGGGGGGGTCTAGCAAATTTCAAGGAATGATTTAACTTTTGCTGAAGTCAATGTTCCTCTAATGGGAGCAAACATTTTTTTTGGGGGGGAGGGGGGATATTACTAATATTAATATTACTCATGTCATTGTACTACGTCTGGAGTATAGCTGTATTTATTTGCAATAGGAGAAATTATATTTTTACACTGGGACTCTAACACTGCTTTCTAATTTAATTGCTCATTTAATTTAATAAGCATCCAGGTCCAGCCCCCTCTGTGGGCAGAGGGTGGGGCTGGACAGCTGGGGCCTTTTTCCGCTAATCACACTATAGTGTCTGCAGTTGACCGGGACCATATAGGGCTGTGAAGTGAAAATCAAGCAAATTGTGTGTTTAAGCCTGACAGCACATTTATCAAAGGAGCTGTGTGCTGGCCGTCCCCCCCCCAACACCCGGCTAGCAGGAAGGAGCAAACCTATGGGGACATTACAGGGATATTTGGTGGTGAGGGGGTGGTGGGGATACCAATGAAGTTTTATCTATATTCAGTGTTTGATGAAGGAATGATGTCAAAACATTTTTGTGTGGAATCCATGGTGGGACTGTAATAAAATACCACAGCCAATCGGAATGTGTACCCAGTCTGTTTTGACTGCTTTCCAGTGTCTGTGAACCGATTGTATCTATTACCTGAGTTGGTATAGAACGCAGTGTTTGAATGTTTTTCGATGTATTGCATAATTAATAGAATTTTGGTTATTTTTGCAGGTCTGATGGATTTTGAATGAAAACATGTTAAGAATAATTAGTTAGAGTTTTCCCTTAAGGACAGATAGGTCATTAAGACAATCCCTTTAAACACAGTTTTTTTGCCTGAAAAGAAATGAGTAATATTTCTTGTTGTTGTGATGGAGTAGTAGCATAGAAATTATGTTGTGATGAGTCCTGTGTGTCAGACTAGGCAAGTGGATCAGCACAACTCTTCACAGAAAGTATGATTGTTGCCAACTGTTCGGGTAATATTCATATAAATGTAAGTGCTGGAGCATGATGTACACATGAGGGATATCCACAGGATATGAAATGTGAACATGCATGACATCGGTCCTTCAGAAATCTGTAGAATGCTACCGACGGCTGCAAGTCTCCAGTATCCCCTATACCATCAAAGTTACTGCTTGCTTCTTTTCACTCTTACATATGTCCATCTGTCTGTAGTATGCAAAAGTTAGTGAGTGGTGCAGGTCTTGTCTAGTCACATTCTGCAGGGATAGTCATTTTTTTTATAATGTCAAATGAAGTCAAAATGAGAGCAAGTCACAAAGGCATCCTTTAAAGGTATCTGCAGTTATTCAAAACATACCATATTACAGAGGAAATGGTAGAGCAACAGAATAAATCAAAAAGAATGCCTTAGCAATGTATTTACATAAGGAATATCAAACTCATTTTAGTTAAATGGGCCACTGTACCCAATGTAATCCCTCAATCGCAAGTAGACTCAGACAAGAAGTTCTACAGTCAGGGACAAAAAACATAACTATCTCTGAAATAACTCGAAACTAACAAAGTTTTAATGACATCTCTTTTTGTTTATTCCACGTTTAACACAAATCAGACTTTGCTTTTGATTATTGATTCAGCTGAATATTTTATATAATTAAACAAATGATGGACAAAAAAGTTGGTACCCTTAATTTAATATTTTGTGCCACCACCTTTTGCATCAATCACTGCCAACAAGCGATCTCTGTACTTCACAATGAGACGTCTGCATTTGCCAGCAGGTAGTTTGGCCCACTCTTCCTGAGAGAACTGCTCAAACTGTCTCAGGTTTGAAGGGTGGTGTCTCCACACTGCAATTTTCAGATCTTTCCATAGATGTTCAATAGCTTTAAGATCTGGGCTCATGGAGGGCCATTTAAGAATAGTCCAATGTTTTTTTTTCTCATTCTGGAGTGCTTTTAGCTGTACATTTTGGGGCATTATCCTGTTGGAGGACCCATGACCTGTGACTGAGGCTGAGCTTTCTGACGCTGGGCGGTATGTCTCCCTCCAGGATGCCTTGGTAGTCTTCATTGTGTCCTGCACAGATTCAAGGTTCCTCGTGCCAGATGCAGCAAAGCAGCCCCAAAACAAAACAGAGCCCTCTTCATGTTTCACAGTAGGTATGATGTTCTTTTCTTTTAAAGCTTCATTTTTCCTTCTGTAAACATAGAGCTGATGTGACTGGCCAAAAAGCTTCAGTTCTGTCTCATCAGTCCAAAGGACATTCTCCCAGAAACTCTGGGGCTTGTCAACATGCATT